TATACAATCATCCCATTTATTGTGCGTCGACAAAATGGATGATCGTTTCGTTAGTAAACAGCTGCTCATGTTGAGCGTTGTAGCGAATTTTAAAGGTGTGATCTTTAAGCTTCACGGGGCTTTATGTTGAGCGTTGTAGCGAATTCTAAAGGTGTCATCTTTGTGCTTCATGGGGCTATAGATTTTGAACAGTGTTTTTTTGCGATCTCTTTTAAATATTAAAACAATATTATTGAGAAAAAATTTTCATTTTAATATTTATATCAATATTAATTATTTATATATATTTATACATAAATTTATAATTTTTCAATAAATATAACAATCGCTGGGAAATCTCTGAATATTAAATTATAGTGAAATATTAATATTTCATTAAATCTTTTGTTACAAGATAACATACGGTTGGTTGTCTACAAATATGAAATCACACGTGCATAAAATAATCTGCAACCTATTTAGAAACAAGTACGGGTATTACCTATACTGGTACAGCATTACTTCTGTAGATTCATACTAATACGATTCTCTCTATTTGAAAAATATTTCAATATGTTAAACTATTTAAGTTTACATATTGTAAATTTTGTTGTCTTCAATATAAATTCAATTTCAATGCCTGAAATATTATTACTATTTTGACCTCAATCATAATTTTATTTAGATATTCGTATTTGTAAACGAATGAGACTAGAAATTATTAATTAAAAAAATAGTTCGCCTCAAATGTACGTATGTATAACCGACCGACCAAATGCCATTAATTGAATCACTCAACCATTTCGTAAACCAGCAAACACCAACAAGTGATGAAAATTATGGAACATTGTCGACTAAATGCAAAACGAATCAAGGCACTGAAGCCTTCCAACCAGCAGATGTGCTTGCATTTCATCTCTGTGCAAAACTGTGCAAAAAGGATTAAATTTATAAATGCTAACCGAAGCGAAATCAATTTAATGCCATTTTTAAATAAAATATTCTTGATATGCAAAAGCGAACTCAACTTAAAAGGACGCATATATAAGTGAGTGGGTGTTTGGGCGTTTACACACTTAATGGTATGGATTACAGAGTTTACTAAGTGTGGGCATGGCTGCAATTGTAATGCACTTTTTAAGCCTTTACGTACTCACCATAATGAAATGCAGTATTTGCTTTGCTGATGGCTGATGTTAGTAATGATGTTGGTGTTTGTGTTATTGCAGGCGTTGGTACTGGTTCTGGTACTGGTACTGGTGCAGTGATGGGTACCGCAAACAACAAGTATATGTTTAACAAAAGTTCAAAATATCGGTCAAGGTAATTTATTTTTTTTTATTGGTTTTTTAGTTTAGGGTATTATTGTTTTCCGCTAAAAAAATATTGTGGAAAAAAATTGATATACTCCACTTAGCAGGGTTCGTAAAGAGTTGCGATATTAGTTTTATTTAGTTTAAATTTCCGCTTTTGGAATAATATTTTTAGCATATGCTACCAAAATGTGGGTTAAACAAGTGATTAAATACAAGTTAAAATATTTTAAATAATTTTTTTAGATTTGTATTTAAATCAGTGTATTTACATAAATACATTTCCTGATTATAAAACTTACATTAGAATAAAAAATAAATAAATGTTAAACAAATAGTTGTTTTAATATAATTATTTTAATAACAAATTATTATGCCCTAATAGGAATAGTAATATGGTTAATAATAAGCTAATTTTTTCATCTAAAAATTTATTCTCTATTTTCCTTCAGTGATCTGTGTCTATATTTTTTTTTAATTCTAAAAATATTTTCGTGTCTTTGTATTAATCCAAGTTTATTCTGGAAACATTGTTAAACCGATTGAAATTAGTTTATTTCATCTCTCAGCTGAGAAATAAACTAAAGAATTTATTTATTTTTATTGTTTATTTGTAATTGTTATTTATATATAGGGTATACAAATAATACTTACTTAGTTGGCCATTACAGACGTGAGTCGTCCTTGGCCGTTTCGAGTAGCCTCTAACAATCAGCCCGATAAGTAGCTTGCTGTCGCCAGTTGGTAGTACCGAGCGACCCCAAACCGTTGATCACCTGATCCTTCCACCGAAGATGCGGACGTCCTCTATCGCGTTTTTCACCTACGAGTGCCGAATCAAACACCTTTCTAGTCGGAGCACTTTCCCCCATTCGAACGACATGACCAAGCCAGCGAATAAAAATAATATCTCCGATAAATTTCAATCAAATCACTTGAAATGTTCATATACTCACCACATATAGTAATATTAGAGGAAATATGTGTATGTAACTATAAAAAAATACATATATTTATGACTATTCTTTCACTAAACTTAATTATTTGATTACATTCCAAAACCTTTCGTCGTGAACAACAAAAGTTTGCCTAAAATTTTTGTTCGAGTTTCATCGTTCGCAAGAAATACGAACTTAATAGCATTTCCAAGGATGATAAATGTAACAGATTACTGGGGGCTAAGAGTTTTAGAAATAAATTATTCCAGTTGATAATTTAATATATATGTTTTTGGCTTAAAACACATTGTTATAGATTAAGTCATTCTATTATTTTTATAATAGTTTGCTTGGTTTACCATCCTAGCGGTCAGCAAAACTTTAACGAAAATTCTGTGTGTCACTTAGTCAATAGTTAGTGTCACCAGAACCTAAACCAGTTCGGTTCAAGAACCTGATTATAAATAGTCAAACAATCTATTTGTAAATATTTGTATGTCGAACATTTTTAGTAGTGATGAGATCTGTTTTATATATAATATCAATTTTCAAAAATAATTATTAAATATGTAGGTAAAACCAAATTTAATCTAAATCTTCTTATCTTGTCAATAGTAGTTTTTAGATGAAAATTATGTTTTTGAAGTTTTAATATTGTACATCACAATGAATACCACCTTCCATGTCAGCAAAGAAAGAGTTATACAACCAAGTTTATGAAAAACAACTGACTAGTTACATAGATACAAAAAAAAAAGTGATGTAAAACGAAAGCATGACAATGTCTATGTACCAAATAAGGTCAAGGATTTCCAGTACCAAACTGTTAACTGAAATTCCCTCGTCTATTTGTTCGTTGCCTTCAATAAGGTAACAAAAAGTTTAGTATAAAGTGTCTATTGTGTCAAAAAAATGCCTAAAAGTAATTAATGTTAGCAAATTGTGAGCTAAAAAATTTATTAGCCACAGGGTATTTAAAAAGTAAGCTAATACACAGTATTTTTTTTCTGTAAATCTGTAACTAACATAATAAAAATACTTGATGTAAATTAAAGTGAATAAAAAGTTTTTCCTTTTAAAAAAAAAAAGTTTTTTTCTCCTATTCCGGAAATAATTTATTGTTTATTGAAAATATAAAAATCAGATAAATTATCCTTTAAGATTCAATTTTAATTTATTTGCATATTTGTAGGCGCAAAAAAAACGTTGACAAGTCTTGTTTTAATATAATATATACGGTTGCATATATACATTATAAATTTGTAATTAATAATAAATTAATTACAAATTGATTTTTTAAAAATAAAACCTTATTATCGACATAAGTAAACAGAATTCCGATTGTAATTAAAAAAAAAATTATATTAAATTAATTAAAAACAATTTCGATTCCTATTACATAAAATATTGAAATTGATATAATTAAAAATAGTTATCATTAACAAATCGATGCAATAGTTAAGTTAATGTATATCAAATAGGGCTGTATTGAATTGTTCTACTCATAATCTATCTTAATTCCTTTTGTGGCGACGGACGTCTGCATACTACTCTTTTGAGTAGTATTATTCTGTATGAAAATAATACTGTTTCCTATCAAATATCAGTGATCAAATAATGACTATTCTAGACAGCGGTGAATATATAGCTAATAATTTTATTAGTTTGATACTTTTTAATATTTTTCTAATAATATTTCTTACTAATAAAATTTAACCGTGGAAATTTGTTTTGTTAAAAAGTATATTTAAATATGTAGTATATGTGATTTTTTACACGTTTTTAAGGATCACAAAACAACATATCCTTCAATAGAAAAAAATATGTCATATGTTCCACTGAGAACTTTACGTAAAATAGCACCTTTAGAGATAATTCATCACGTAGAACGAGATTAATTGGGTCTTAATTGGGTAAAAAGAACATTAGGAGTAGCATAAAAGCAATGAACCCACCCTTCATACCTATAACGTATAAATTAAGCTGGCTGTTCACTGTAGGAATTTCCATACTGAAGTTTTCGAAACTATCTAAACATCTGGATGGTTAACCATACTGCTATAAATTGAATACCATAATATTGTATTACGTTCAAAAACGTAACGTAAAAGCATTGATAAACACGAAATAGTAGTAGATAACCGGTAGAAATGTTAGTCACGGCTGCATATCTGTTGGGTTTTAGAACATAAAAGCATTAAATAAAACGAAATAGTGGATGGGATTGACAAAAGTACTGGTTAACTGGTACTAGGGAAATAAAATGATATAAAATAAGTGCAATCATATAATGTTGCATATTTTCTAAAAGAAATAAAGTACACACGATTTGTACTAGCTGAGTATTGGGCAGATCTATTTTATGTATACCGAGGGCCCATATTGTATTAGCTGTACAAAATATAGGAGTTATCAAAATATATATAAGACTTTAAAACATCTCTTATATTTATGACTTGATTGAGTAACAGCTTCAAGCACTTCTCAGATTAGCAAAATAAGTTGACATCTAACATGATCCCTACGACAAATATACTTAGATATATAGCTCCATTTCATATCGCTAGGGATCAATATGT